ATACGAGGAATTTGGCAGGAAGGCCAGCAGTGGCTTCCTCTCTCCCTGAAGATACCGCCATATGCTGAGAGATGAATCCAGTTATTTCAGCAGTGCTGGCAAAAGTAGTTTTTGGCTCCCCATTGCTCCCAGGCTGGCACGAGCAACTGCCCTGTCTTCTCGGCGCCCGGGGGCTGCAGGGTGAGGAGGAGATGTGGAACACCAGGGGAAAGCAGTGCCATGGGAGTAGCAGGGCCTGCAGGGTGTGAGGCAGCTGCCTTGGGCAGAGGGCCTCCCTTGGGCAGTGCATCTTCATGCACGCCATTCCCCTCACCTGGGTTTGGGGGCAGGATTGAGGCTGGCACAGGGGTGAGTGCTGAAGGCAGGACACGCCTCCTGCTTGTGCCCTTTGCTGTCTCCTTTGTGTTTTGAGATCTGATGGGATTGTGCCACAATACGGAATAGCTGCAGGCAGATCACTTTTATGATATATTACTGCAATAAAATTACAAATTTATGGCAGTCAGAGATCTAGACATGTGCCCATAATTTTTCCTTGCCGCTGTGTATTGTCTGGTTAGTTGGCACATGAACTCAGTTGATCCCTGGGAGAAAGAGATGATGCTGGGTGAGCTGCCCCTCCCTGCTCAGTGCCTTGGGCCCTGACATTCCTCCCTGGAGCCTGGCACCGCCAGGGGTGTGGGGCTGGCAGAACACAGCGGGGCCTTTTGGGTGGGTTTGGGCAGTAGGAAACAAAGTACCACGGCAACCCCTCTTCTGAGAGATCTCCTTTATCAGCTTGTGGCAAACCTTGGGCTCCTGCTCATCAGTGGTACCACTTTTCTGGCCTTGTTACTGCTGCAAAATGGAAGGTGCATGGTGGGTTTTGGGCTTCTTTGTGGGTTAGTTTGTTTGTTTGTTTGGGTTTTTATGTTTTCGGGGTGTTTTGGTGGGTTGTAGGGTTTGGGTTGTTTTTTTTTTTTTTCATTTGTTTGTTTTCTTGGCGTTTTTGTGTTGGTTTTAAAATTTTAATATTTATTTATTTATTTATTTATTTATTCTTCATTTTTTAATGAGGAGGAATGCCAGGGTCAAGAATTCGCATCAGGCTTCTGGTTCCACTCTTCTGTACATAGCCCTTCTCCCTCCATGCCATCTGTCAGTTGCAATTAATGCTTTAATACTCTCTGCAGGGTAGCATTGCTATTTATTTATTCCAATGTTTAAGTTTCTTTTTGACCTTTGGGATTAAGCTGGAGTGCCCAGACATCATCGTGGACTGTGAAAATCCCAAGATAGCATGTCACAAGCTCTTGAAAAGGGGGGAAATATGTGAAATGTTGGTTTTAGCTGTGTTTTCTTTGGCTTGCTTTCCTAGCTGTGGCTCCTGGGGCAGGGGAGGGGACCAAGGCCCTAGTTCCTGTGGTGTCACCCAATGCAGAGAACATTTGGTGTGCAATGCCCCAGAGTCCTGATGGATACCACCTTGCTGCTCCTCTGCTCCTGGGAGCCCTTCCCTGCTGGCTGGACCCTGGAATTCAAGCACAGTCTCCTCAGTGTAGCCTTGGAACTGCAAGACTTCTGACTCACATGGCTTTTTTTCCTTCAGAGGTAGCCAGAGCCTGAGACCATCCCACAACAGTATTTCTTTAATAGAAGAAAGATTAGATGTATCATAATCTAATTAGCAATCCTGCATTTCTCGTCTTTATCTGCCACCAGGAGCATCTCTCAGGGTGGGCTCAGGGTTGTTTGCGTCCCTGAACTTGCAGCACGTTCTGGGAACCCTGTTCCTTTCTATTGCCTTCCTTTGTTATATTCTATTTTCTGTCTGTGCTGGGGGGGTGTTGTTTGGGTTCTGTTTGACTCCAGTTTAGTGTGTGACTCAGCATTGCTGTGTGTTTTGTTCTGCTGGTGGTTACAGCATTCCCCAAAACCTCCTGGTGCTTTCACCAAAGTGTCTTACCCTAAATCTGTGGCTGTGATCTCCCTGCCAGCCACCACCCTCCTTTGCCTGCTGAGGTCTTCCCTTGGCCATGCCATCCTATGATGGAGACCATGTTTACCTGGAGATAGCATGCACATTAGCCAGTAATTCTCACATTAATTGCTTTGTGATAACTGCATGGTATCAGGCAGGGTCCTGCGGACGATTCCCCTGCTTACCCCCACTGGCCTGGCTGCCCTGGCCCTCTGTGGGTGCCCCCCTCAGCTGCTGGGGAGCTCACCTCCTGCCACCAGCATCTGCAGATGGTGCTTTCTTTCCCCTGTGTCTGGATAGGATATGTCCTTTTTATTTTGCATCCTGGAGCCTTTAATTACTCCCAACAAGTCCCTTTCACACTTCAAAAATCCTGTAGCAATTTCAGTTTGAATTGCTTTCTCTGAGGCTTTGGCTTAGATGAGTGCACCTGCTCTGGGGTTCCAGTGGTAATTGGGCTGTAATAGTTATGGTCCTTTAAATGCACTTAAGGTACTGTGAGCTTTAAGAACTGATAATGGTGCAATCTGGCATCTCAGCACCAGTTTTGTCTTGAGCATTTTGGTTTAAATTGTATTGTTTTGCCATTTGTGAAGATTACAAATATTCACAGGTTTTGGAACTTGGATGAATTTAATGAAATGCTGCCCTGTGCTCATGTACCCATCCCACAGATCTGGGTCCTGGGCTGCTCCTCATTTCCCACTCTGCCAAACCCCTGCTGAGCTCAGTGGGAGTTTTGCCAGAACAAGGCCCTAAAAAAGAAGTATGACTCATTTGAGCAGTTGTGCTCATTTATGCACCAGTCCAGGCTCACGTTAAAAGGATATTAAACAAAAAATACTAAAGAACCTACTTGTCTTGTCCTTGCCTAGAGCAAACATTTATCCTGGGACTGGTCTAGCAGGTTAAAGATGGCTTTTCCTCTGGTTTGTGTGTTACTTAGGATACTGTGGTGTGGAGAGCATCAGGGCTTTTTACAGTTCTCTGCTGCCTTAATTCCCTTCTAAGGAGGCAGAACAGGGAGGCGGATGAAGAAAAGAGAAATACATCTCTCTCAGGCACATACCATAGCAAGAGGTGTGCAGCCTGTAGCCTGCTGCTGAACTCAGAATATAACATCTCCAAAATTACCAGTTGTGAGTGTGATAATGAACTGAAAGTAAACATGGCTCAGTTTGCTGTGAATCATTCTTGGGGGGTTTAATTGGACTTGGATGAGCTGGCATTGTTGCAGTGCAAGAATAGAGTTGTTTCAGAATTAGACAGACATATCTGCTTAGCAGTGCAGAGCTGCTGCATCCCAGTAGTACTGGGGAGACTTTATCCTCAAAAAGGCTTCCTAGGACGGCTTGAGGAAGTTCTCTGTGTGGGGAAGGAGCCAAGTGCTCCCACAAGGCCCCAGCACCTGGGAATTCACCTGCTGGTACCAAATGCCCTCAGATGAACACTTGGAGTTAAGCTAGTCACTGTGAGATGGAAGATTTTCCCTCACCAGAAAAGGCCTCTAAGCTCTCCTGGCAGGGAATAGGGGCCATGAAATTATGATAATGGTAGCTGCTATTATGAGATGTTACTGTAAACAAAAACAAGCATTTTTGTGCTTTTCCTTCCAGAAGAAATTTAAATTCCCAAAGCAGAACAACCTGTTCAGAACGGCTCAGACAATGTTGTACATCCAGGCAAGGAAAATACTTTACTTCCCTTAGGAAAGTGATTGCAGGTTAGCTCCATGAGAGGTACAGGTGTGGGGTGATGCCCTAACTTGGTGTTTGACTGGAGTAGTTTGACTAACCTGTGAAATTCAGAGAACTTGAAAATGGGAACTACCCTGTCCTGTAGTGGGGAGACCCAGGAATTGCATATTGCCCTCTTTAAGCCATGATCATGATTATGGGATGAGGCAAAGAGATTTATATAAGCCATTCTCATTAATGCCAGTGGGAATTACCCAGAGCTATACAAGTACATCACAGTAAGAAATGTGCCTTGGCAGTTCACTATTAATATTTGAAGATAGTGCAAGCAAAGTCTCCTTCTCTGAGTCAAGTGGGCAAAAATTAGAGGGGCGGGGAAGGGAGAGGGAATTTTGTTGTTTTGGTCCTTGGAGAGGTTATGGAAAGGTGAACCATTCATACATACAGACCCTCAGATACAAGGAGTTGCAGGTGTATGTCTCATGTTAGCTGTCCCCATGGCTGTAACTGCAGGTATTTAGCTCCTGTTGGCTGCTTACTGATGGGCAAGAGCCCATCTCTGTTTTCAGGAGCTGCTGACCATCTTTGCTGACCCACTCAGTGCTGGCGCTCACCAGGGGGGCAAGAAAGGCTGCTGCCATTCTGCTTGCAGTTCCATGCTGTATTTAAACCAGATGGGGAAATTCTAGGCAGCAGAAGCAGCGCATTAGCAAAATCAGAATTTGTGATTTTAGCCTAGTGAAGTGTCTCAAAGAGCTTGAGTTGTTTGAAGCGGCCATCGAAGCGAGTAGAAGGGACTGTGTATTTATATGAGGCACGGTGGAAGGCAGGCATTGACCTCTGCTTGATGTTTCTGAGTTAGTCATTATTCCTCTGTTTGGTTTGTATCAGTAACAAGCTTTCAAGTTAGTTTCTTCATATTTTGCCTTTTTTTTTTTTGGCTTGAGTTGGTATGCAGTCTCAGTCATAGAATGTGAGTTCTAGTAGGAAGTGTTATTGTATTTATGGGTCTTGTCCTGCTGTTTACTCAGTACAGCCATGCCTTCAGTTTACTCAGTACAGCCAGCCTTCTCCAATTCACCCTCCTTCCATGGATGACAGAGCTGAGGCTGCAGCTGGTAGCAATGTGGTGCTGGGGTGCTTGTCCAGTCCCTGCAAGAACTGTGGCTAATTGCTGCCATGCTGTTTAAACTAATTTTCTTTATTATTCTTAGCATTATTTACATATTTTTTTATGGAAACCCATTCCATTCAAACAAGATAAAATAAAATTTACTATTCCTGACAGATGTTGACAGCTTTGGAGCAATGCAGGACACGCTGATTACATCTGTGCAGTGCCACTGCCTTGGAAGAAGGTTCACCAAAGCAGACGAGTCCTGCCTCTCACCCTGCGGATAAATGCCAGAGGTAACCTTTACAGCTGCACCTTTCAGTGACAGTCCAGCCCAAAGCCCAGGGTTCCCTACTGACAGCTCCTTGCTCACAAGGCTAGGCTGCACAAGTTGAAATTCATCAGTTTTCACATTCCCAACAAATGAACTGGGGAGGTAGAAGTTGGTGCTGTGGATGCTTGGTGCAAACCACCTTCAGGACTTTTAGTAAAAAGTCCATGGTCTTGGACATCATCAGCTGCTGCACATAACACTGAGGAAGGTTGTGTGTACCCTCAAGCTGAAAGCAGAAGAAAGCTGAAAGCACATTTCTCTCCTTCAGCTGAGCAGTGACCCGGTGTCTATACCTCTTATCACCCCTATATGGCAGGAACTCTGATAGGGTTTAGCAGCACAATGGTATGTGCTGTTTTGATACTTGAACAGAGATAACAGAATGCCTAAATAAATCCTGTTTGATGCTTAAATAAGGATTTCATCCTGCCATGTCTGTAGGCAGATACCAAACAGAGTTTATAATTCATTATCCAAGAATTTGATCCTTTCTATCTTTGTTTTTTTTTTTTTTTTTTTTTGCATTCCAACTTGGGGTACTTTTACTAGGTAGTAATAGTGGAAAGGAAAGAAAGAACATAGTCACATAATACTCATATGGAATAAAGTTAGCAGATAATTAGATGTTGGAAACTGTGGACCTAGGAAGCTCCAGTTTCTTCCTTAATACTGATACTTAATTGGACATTAGCAAGTAGAAATTCTTGAATGTTCACTTCTTTCCTGTTATTAAAAACCAGTCAGACATGTGAGGATGCATGTCTCCTGTGCCTTGCTATGTGGCAACAGTTACAGGGTAAAACTACTTGAACACCCTGCTGCTGCTACCATATCTGGTGCTTAGCAGCTGTTAGTGGGCCCAGCCAGGAGCACCGCACTTCTAAGGCCAGAGCAGCTTTCAGACTGCAGCTAAAGCTTCTGCTACTGTTACTGTTCCTCCTCCTCGCAGTTTGAGTGACTAAAGCTGAGCCTAGCTGCAGGATGGGTAAGGCTGCAGGATGGGTAAGGCTGAAGCGTGGTTCCCTCCCGAGTGCAGGCATGGCCCGGTGATGGGAGCTGGGGACAGCTGTGGGCACCAGGGAGAGAACCCAAGTGAGGGCAGCTCGGTGATTGCTGGAAAGGGAAAATGATATTTTTATTCCAGCAGCTAAAACCCTTTTGTATTTTGGTTTCTTTTAGCAGCTATTTATCCAAAACATTTGGGAGAAAAGCTGTCTCTTTATTAAATATTTAACACCCTTGCCTTCAGCTGTGGGCTGAGAAAGCTCCCAATCCACATGTGAGTCACCAAGAACTCCTCCGACAGAAGCAGAGGAATTCCAGACTGGAGATTGCTAGAGGAAAAAAAAGCTCGCTGCTTTGGAAAAAGTCCAAAATGGTTCACATCTCTCATATATCATAAAACGAGCACTGCAGTCAGTCTGCTGGGTGTGTGGACAAGGAGTCACAGAGTCCCAGATCTGAAGTGGAGAAGTTCTCAAAATGCTGGGGAGCATCACACCCTATATAATACAGATGAGAAGTACACCCAGTAACTGGTCTTTTATTAAATGCTGTCTGCATTTGGATCCTGACATGTCAGAGGTGACAAGGTGTAGATCACTGCTTCCTGTAGTAGTTTGTTCCATTGCTGAATTAGTGCTAGTTTTAATCCATTCAGCTTTCACCTCCAGCCATACGTTAGCAGGCATCTCTCGGCAAATCCAGGACATCCATGATTTGGAGGTGCCCTGCTCACTCAGGATGACAGTCTGGGATTCATGTTCAGAGAGCATGAGTGCAAGCTTCTGCAAAAAGAGCATATGGTAACAAATGGTGCAATAAGAATGAGTTGTGATAACAAAAAAGGTCACGGCTGTCCCTAGCACTGCTGGTGGTGAGCACTGTGCTTACATGTGCTGTGCAGGCGTGGAGCGTGTGATCAACTCTTTTTATTTCTATTAAAGTGATAGGAACTGAAGGAATAAAATAAGATGAAACTTTTTTGGCATGTTTCGCCCTTTGGCCAAATTATTTTATCAACATCCCAAAGAAGTTTTCAGCTGCAGATGTTGTGTCAGTCTCTGTCCCATAGCCAATTAGAAACATCTCCAGCAGTGGTTTTTCACCTCTTTCCTCTGCGGACCACTTAAAAATTTTTACTGGTGACGAGGGTTCCTCGTATAGCAAACTTACACCTCCTGACAAGAGGTTTACTCTTCCCATTCCTATTTGTAGATACTTAAATGGAGTTCACAGTATATAATAGTATTTTCACTGGTTGAAAACCATTGGTCTTTGACACAGGTATTTTCTGTGCACTCTGAGATCACTCCTGCAGGGAACACATGGCCATTAAACATTTTTTAGGCCATGTGCTCTGAGTGCTTTAAAGGAACTTCTTGTAGCTAATGTACCTGATTCTCATTTCAAAGCAATGTTTCTATATTGCCTTGTTTTGAGCTTATTCCTGATTTAAAATTATGAAAGAAGTGCAAGCCTTACAGCCTCACCACCTAGCCCTACATGGTGCCTGTTGGAAGGTGAGGGGTGACACCAGTAGCATGTGTTAATAACACATCCTCCGTGGGGCAGCACTGACTAGCGGGCATATTCTGGTACAATCACTTGGCTCCCTTGGCCAGGACCTCTGCCTTGTGCAGGTGGGACTTGCACAGCTACCTTTTGTATGTGCCTGCCTTTTGGGTGGAAAGTGTTAGCAAAGATGACTCTTTCTGGCCTGTGCTGTGTTGCCTTATATGGGAGGAGTGAATGAGGCTGTCAAAAGTCAGTTTGAACATTAGAGACTGAGAGTGGTCAGATCTGATGGGCATTCTGCAAAAAACAGGAGACAAGATGACCAGGAGATGGTTTGTCCCAGCACTATGAAAATGTTAGGACCCTTTATAAAACTCACTGACCAGATGTGCTGCAATGCGTAGCTGGATGAACGTTGTGTGTAAGGACTCCTTACCAGCAGGAGCTGGTGTGGCCAGCCACCTGTGCCTGAGCTGGCCAACACAGCTGGCAGCCCCATCCCCTAGCCATTGCTCAGATTGCCCAATACTGCAATCACCAGCTCTTTGATGAAAGGCAGGTTCATGTATCAGATTGTTGAGCATTAGGGATAGGGGATTAGATTTGCAGTGTAATCTTTCTGTAACATGCCTCTTGATCCAGAGACTGTGCCTTATAAAAGAGCTCTTTTCTCTCTGACATTGTGGAGGCCTCCTCAGGGACAACTGTCTTCTACCTTCATTTGGAGATAGTGAGGCTGCTGCTGACCTGATGTTTGTCAAGGTCACAGCTGCACCAGGCAAAATTAGTTCTGTGCAGGACAGTTAAGTAGATTGGATTTTCTCAGTTGTAGCTGATTTGCTTTCATCTGGCTTCCTCTTGCAAAACCATTTAAAGTCCATTCCCCTTTGCCCCCCACTGCCTATTTATGGGAAAAGACTGGAAGGGGGATATTCCTGCCTGAGGTTCAATTCTGCTTCAAGCCCTATTCTTATATCTTTCCAGGAAAGTGTCTACAGAGGCTGGGGCAGGCTGTGTAATCACTCTGGAGCCTTGGGTTGTATTTCATCCCATCATGAATGTTGTAGGGCCAGTTGGACTGGTCCTCCCCTGTGCCAGCTGACTGCAGCTTTGCACTGTCTGCTTTGGATCCAAAACCCTTCTGGGACCCTTCTGCAGATTCCTGGTGTGTCGCTGCAATTTTAACTGAGCCCCTTTCCAGTCCAGCTTTGTTTCTGGAACCTGATGAAGCCAGTTAATCTGAGTCAAAATGCATCAAAGCCCATGTCGTCTAATCAAGGAAAAAACTTCTGATTTGAGTAGCAGCTTTGGCTGGTTATGTTCTGGCCACTAGGAAAGCTGTCAGCTCCCTGGCTGTGCTGGCAAACCGTGCCATATGGTTGTGCGTGGGAAGCCAGTTCCTTGGGAGCATGGGGCGCTACCAGAGGGAGAGTGATTTTCACCCGGCTGCCTTTCCCTGCAATGGCTTTGCCAACGGGATATAATTATGGTGGATCTTTGCCTGCTTCCTCAGGTTGCAAAGCAACCACCAATGGAAAAGACCTCTTGTTTCTAGGTATCCTCCTGTTTTCAATCCCTTTTTATTTTAAGGTATAGTGAAACCTGCAGTCTGCAGAAATTGCCGCCTGGTGCATTTGGGAAGAGTTGGCTGGAATTTGTGGCAGACAGCTGACAGAGTGCAGGCTCTGTGACACTGATGATAGACTGTATGATCCCTGTTCATCTCTGTGGTGTGAAGGGGGAAAATTCATAGGGAGGTTTGCTTGAGGGCCTGGCAGGGGCAATGTGGTGTGTGAAGGGGATGTTTCCTTCTTTGCATAGTCACCTTCAGCCTATCAAAAATCTTTGCTAACTGGGACTATATGGAAAAAGGGAGTATGGAGATAATTGAAGCAAAGGGGAGCTATTCTATGGTATGTTCCCACCTCCCCAAAACTGTAGCTGATCAGAGTTTAAGGGAGATGAGCTTTAGTTTCTCCCAGAGCTTCATGTCTCTCCTCTCTGGGTACCAGAACAATGCTGGCAGCACTTCTAGGTCTTGAGGAGTAGGGTACAGCCGGTCTGAGGGAACCAAAAGGGCCACAGAGAGCAGGTTTGTACCCCAGTCCAGGTATGCCAAGCAAGTCCCCTTGACCTGGTTGCTCTGGTCAGCTGTATTAACAGAGAGCCTGTGTGATTCTGGGACTGTGGCATTCTGCAGACTGGCCTGGAACTGATGCTGGAATGTCCTTGTGTAGAAACTGTTGGAAAAGAGAAGGACTAAAACAAGATTTTTATATTTCATTTTCTTTTCTAAAAGCTTTGCTAACTACCCTTGTCTGTACTGCACTGAAAACATGCAATAATTCCCATTTGTCTTTGGCATTTTCTCTTGCTTTTTATTGGTATCTCCTCTGATGTTGTGACAGTATGTCCTGTGCTGGATTACAGGTATAAATACTGCTT